CTGGCCTGGCAAGCGCAAGGGCCTGAGTTTGATCTCTGGTTCCTCCAAATAACAATAATAATAATAATAAATATTTTAATTAATATAGAGCCTATATTGCCTCCAATGAGACTATATATCACCCTTTGGAGCCTCACACCCTTTGAGGTTCTGTTAGTATCTAAGGAAGTTGGCATGGGGCATCACTTCCTGCTCAGTGGGCCGGAAGCTCTCTTAGGTAGAATATTCACGCTGAAGCATTTTCCTACTCTAAAAGCTTCCCTAACTGAGGGCAAGGTGACCTGCATCGGTAATGCATCCCGGGATAAGTGCAGCTGACTCATGAAGCGGACGTGCAGGATAAGAAAAAGGACTGCTGCTATCCCAGCCGGAGGATGTAACTCCATCTGCTCGAATGGAGCTGATCTTATCCAGTAAACAGCTCAGAGAAGCATCCTGCGAGAACTGATATTCCGTTTGCCACAAAGGAGAGGAACAGGAACTCTTAATCACTAGACAGAGTTTACCGTTGAGATGACACAAGTTCCGGTTCACACAGAATCTGCAGCCACTGAACAATATGACAAACCTCAATCAGCCCAGGAAATATTAACAATATCAATAACTAATAATTAGCAACTGAGTATTTTATCATCCACAGTCCCAAGTTAAGCATATACTTAGGAGGTCACTCCTTAGTCACCAGTAATGTAAGAACATTATCCTTAGTCACCAGCAATGTAGGAATATTATCACTTTTATTTTGCAGTGGAGAAAGAAGAGGGTTCAAGTAGTTAACTACCTTGCTAGTTAAAGAAAGGGTGAGAATATAAGTACACCTCATCAAATTCATCAAGAATTTTCTGACTTCAGAAAAGGCTTTCTAGACAAACTTTAGGTTATGGGGCACATTCCAAAGTATTCCATGGAGTAATTTCCATTTAAAAATCACAATAAAAGTCCCCCACCTTGCTTTAGGCCTTACATACTGCATGGCAAACTCTAATAATCATACAACATTACATGGCTAAAATGCATGAGTGACAGCCCTGCTCCAATAGAAAGACCATCCTCTGAAACACTTGAGCAGTGGGAGCATGAGTGATTCACACAGAATCCCTGGTCCTCCATTTCCTCAGCTATAAAATGGACCACGGAATGAGCCCATGGTCACAGCTTGGCCATACCACCATGCCCTCGGTCCCCAGCTTCCTTGTCAGCCTTGGCCCAAGGAGCTCATGCAAGGTGTCCATCCTTCCTTCAGAATCTCTGAAATCACACCTGCTGGCTGAATCACCTGGTTGTCTCACTTGGTACAATGCTGACATGTGACAAAAATATTTAAGTCAATTTAAACGGTCATTTACTACCTGCTTTCAAATATTATTAAGTGGCCTGACTTGTACATCACAAGTTTAACAAATGTTGGATTCTAGAAATAAAATTTGTTTTAAAGCAAGAATGATATCATCAGTACTGAATCTCTCCTGAAATACAGACTGTTTTAAACTTAAAGTAATAACTGTTAATTTCCTGTTTACTTCATTGGACTTTGAATTGCAAAAAGCAGTATTTTTTCAATGTCTGTGTATATTTAAAATATAATTTTCACTGTAATAATTAAAACTGTTCCTTTTTATGCACTGAGTTTTCTTTTTAAAAAAAATGAATTTAGGACAGGGTGTATAGGATGTACAAGGTCTCACTACGTAGATTGGACTGGTAGTGATTCTAGTTTTCACAGTCTCCCAAGCACTGGGATGACAGGCGTGTGCCACCATGTCCAGTCTCAATTGCCAGCTCAGCACTCCCCAGGGGGTGGGGCCAGCCCAGCATGCCGGGGATTGAACCCCGGCCACTGTGCTCTGCTGAAGCAGGCATTTTATTTAGTCCACTGAGCAATCTGGCCAGCCCAAGATTTTTTTTTTTTTTTTTTTTAATTCAGGCCAACAGGAAATATACAACTATGCTCAGTATTTAAGGTCCTATTTCTCAATCCTATTAAATTTGACTTTTGTGTGTGTGTGTGGTATCGGGGATTGAACTCAGGACCCTGCGCTTGCCAGGCAAGTGCTTATTCTACTGAGCTATCTCCCCAGGCCCTAAATTTGACATTTCTTGATGAGCGCTTTTTGGCCTATAACCAGTGCTATTATAAAAACAAACAGGCAGCTTCTCTGGAAAAATGTGACTGAGAAGAAATACAAAACCAGACCTCACTGCTCTGAAACATAGAGGTAAGCTGATTATTAGATCCCCACATGGGAGAAGTGCCCTGCGGCCTCTTAGATCTGCATCACTTAGGGTCGGCAGTGCCCAAAACTAACCCTGACCCACAGCACATTCCCACAAACGTGCCCAGAATATGAATGTATTGGTAAAGGTTTTTTGTTTTTTTTTTTTAAAAAATCCTTAATTTCTCATTGCTTTTTTTTTTTTAACCCCTTGGCAATTGAATAAGGACTGTAGAATATGTTTCCTGGGTCTTCACAAGCATCAAGTAATAGAAAATTTGTGAATACACTTGTAAAAAGTAGAGTGTTATAATAGTATCGACCTTCTCTCCAGTATCCAACACAAGATCTGGTACATGGGAAATTCTTTGATTTCTTGCTGAAAAAAACACATTATTTTAGTCCTTTTCACCTTCTGTATATCTGATGGTTAATATATATTTTCTAGAAATTTCATTTTCACATTTTTAAATGTTCTTTCTGTCCCACATCTTGTTTCCCTTGTAGTTTTTGGAAGTCCTTCCATTGCCCGGTTCTCTTTGATGAGCCTCAGAACCAGAGTGGAGTCTACTTCCACAGGCTTATAGAAACTTCAAGGTCACTGGTGTCTCCCCAGTGACACTTGAAGAGCACTTGTCCCTTAGCAGGGACAATAAATGGAAGGAAACCATGAGCTGTCCAATAAACCTGGTCTTTCACTGAAACAGGGACTAAAAACTATGCTTGTATAATAAGCACTGTTCTGAGTTTCTATTCTTGACCACTCTAGATTTTTACAGTGCTCAATTGCTTAATTTCTCTTGATTTTAGGACTAAAGCAAGTGCTCCTCCATTACTGGGTTAATAACTGTATTCATCTGAAGCTTATGTTTTGCTCTCGGAGATGCCATCTAGCACTTTCCAAGCTGATCTAGTGTATAGCAACAAGAACTTTTCCAAGAAGTAATTCCCTGCTGTTTTTAGGTCTATTCCCCAAGCTTTGCCTAAAGATCTCTTAATTGTTTCAGAACTCTTGCCTATATCTAATATCACAGCAGCTGGGACAAAGATATTCAAGATGAAGTTTATGCTATTGTTCCAAATGAATCCAGCTTAAAAAAAAAAAAAAAATCCACGAGGCCAGGCCTGAGGCAAAGGGGATGGTAATGGCAAATGAAACCTGCAGGTCTTAGGTCCTGTAAACTACCCCAGCACAATGCCTCCTTATTTCAACACATTTCACCATTTTGCCACCTATGGACTCAACATGATCTGGACACTACGATAAAGAGGTTAAGATTTGATTACTGAAATAAATACCACCATCAAAGAACTGTCCACTGACGACACTGGACACCCAAAGATGCTGAGATGACGGACACTGTGGGAAGGACATGGCTTTTCAGAGTCCTATGTATGGGCTTTCAGGACACATCCAGTCAAAGCCAGGGTTGCAGGAATATTGCATCAGGTGCTTCGCTTCCACCATCCTGGGCCTTTGTGCCACTGTCCCCAACCCGCCCATCCTACGCTGATTTCAAATACTCTCACCATCTACACTATGAGATAGGGCTTGCCTATCCCTGGGCAGGGCTAAGACAAACCTGATCCACGCAGCCGCAAGCAAGGCTACTCCTGAGGTGCCCTCCAAGCGCCCCCACACCACGCGGGAGCCCAGCTGCACTGACCGACTCCTTCCTCCCTTGGGCGGGATGGATCCCCCAATTTTGTGCGGACAGGAGCACTGGACAGAGTCCACTGGGGTAGAGTTTAGCCCTTGCCAGGGACTCATGTCCGTCAATTATTATGAAGTCCCAACAACAACGTTTGGTGCTGTTTTTATTCGTTTTCAGGAAAACTGGGCCAGCTTTCAAATAACTTTACGTCCCAGGCCTGGGCATGCGGTGGCCGCCCGCGGACAATCAGTAGGGCAGTGTCCTGCACACGCCCACTCAGTGAGCAGGGACCGGGACCTGCGCGCCCCCAGGCGACGCCTTTACCTCGAGCCGGCTCAGGCTGGAGCTCTTGGAGCGCGATTTCTTGCGCAGGTAGACGGAAAAGAACCTGCGCACCGTGAACTTCTTCATGCCCAGATCCATCACCTCGCGCCCAGCCGCGAGCAGCCGTAGGGCTGGCGGGCGCGCATTCCCGGCGCATCCCAGGCGCGGGAGTGGTGCGCAGGCGGGCGCGCGGCCGGGAGCCCGGCGCGGCTGTCCCGATCGCGGATGCAGGCAGCGGGCACAAAGGGCAGGCCGCGCCGGCCACTGCGGCCCGGCCCAGGGATCACTCCCACCGCGCCTCCGCCTCCCGCCGGAGGACTAGCTCAGACAGCTCGCTCCGCCCCTAGAGCTGCCCAGGCCACGCCCCCAGCCAACCCTCCAACCAATGCCCGCCACAACGCCACGCCCACTCCAAAGTCCACCTATCAGCGCCTGCCATCCCCTTCCCCAGAGGCTCTGTCCCCTTCTACTTCTCTCTGAGAATCAGCTTCTGAAGGCCCCACCCTGTCCCACCCACCGCCAATCAGCGCCTGCTGCCCCGCCCATGGGTGTCCCGCCCCTGCCACTGCTTCCAATCAGTGCCTGCCGATTACTGCCCCAGGAGCTCACCCTCCTCCTACTCCATCCTTCTAGGTACCTGCACAAGGCAGCACCGCCCCCACACTGCCCCGCCCACTACCATCACCGCCAGTCGGAGAGCGCAGCTGTCGCACGCCTAATAAGCGCTACCCGGACGGCTCCCCGCTCTGCTGGGTGGTGTGGTTGCCCAGAAGCTGCTCCGGGAGCTGGCTTGTCTGCTCCTGGGATTTTGGTGCCTTTTCTACCTTGGGGTGTCATATTTTCTTCCCTTAAAACATCGACGTTCGCACCTTAGCATCATAGCATCATCATTTTTCCACTGAACAAACTTTAACGATTAATGAACAAGCTCTGTAGAAAAGGGCACCACAAATGAGCCGGCCATCTCTCCTCCCTGCCTTGCCGGTCCCTGACAGCCGGGAGGCCCGGGTTGGGCTGTGGTGGAGATGGGGGTCACTTTACTGCTCCTCAGAATCAGTCTCCCTCCTCCTGCTTGTCGGCGAAACGGATGCCTCACGTGGCGGCGGGAGAGGGCCAGCCGGCTGGGGAAACCTTCCTTTACAGCAGCTGGAGAACAAAGACACATCCGCTCTCCGTGACCTCTGGCTCCATATATAGAAAACTATCCAAACAGATGACTTATCAGGCCCTGCACAGGAATATCCTGAGACACAATGACCTAGGTCTGCGGGTGAGAGCTCTAGCAGGACCGCACGGGGTTTAAAGGAGCCCTCCCCCGAAAAAAAAATACCCCCCCCCCCCAATGCTCATCAGAGGGCTACAGGCAGACTGAGCAGTCTGCTGTTTTCCTCTCTTGGAAAAATCCACTCATTGAGTTTATGTTTTAAAAGGGAGGGAAACAAAACGCGCTGATATACTACTGTCACCGCCTGAAAAACCGAAAGCATTTGTGTGGTATTGAGTTTACTAGAACTGTCTTTTGCCATGCAAATTGCCAAAACAAACAAAAAAAGCAAACAAAAAAAAACCTGCGTGTGCTTTTATTCCCCCTGCTGAATAAATGTTTTATTAATGCTTGCAATAGTCTACATTTTGCCACTGTGGATAAAGAGATTGGGATATCTCCAAATAAGAACTTGGAAGCTCATGCTGCACCCACATGAAGGGGAAGTCAGACACAGGTTCTGAGTTTTGGAAGACCTCTGTGTTTATGTGCTCCCTGGCTGCATGGTGGATGGTAGGAGCACTTAGCGTTAGGACCCCGCCTTTACCTTCCTTGGTGGGCACACTTGCGTGCTGTGTTTCCAGTGCTCATCTCTCAGATGAAAATATGAATAAAACCCACTACACCTCCCTTTTTGGGGTTCCTATGAGGCTTATGCAAAATAATGGATGTCACTGGTGTTTTGTACACTAAGAAGAGTAAGTGCTTTTCATAAACATTACCCAAGTATTAAGACATGTTATCCATTGCGTCTCATATAACATTATCCTCTACAGGAATATTTTGCTCTGAAGAACTATAGAACCCCAGAAAGAAACCAAACATTCCTTTCGCTCTCTCTGAATCCAGTTGGTCAGTGGAAAGCCCATCAGAATTGATTTCTTGCTTCCCTGTGAGGTTCTGGAGGGAGGATGGTTACTCCCTGATGGTGATTACCTCCTAGAGCCCCCTGGGACCACTTAGGCCTTCTAGCTTTGAGGAAATGCATAGCCCATGTTGACCACACAACGTTGCTGTTCTAGCACAGGAAGCAGCAGATTGATCTTGGGCTAGTCCCTGTGTCCAGGAATGAGGAAGGGGCCAGCTCAGCCAAGCTTCCCACTATGCGGGGTCTGGTAAAACTTCTCAGACAGGAGAACTGTGTGCCAACAAATCCAACTCACGGGCATCCCACTCAAGACAGACACCTCAAGCCAGGAAGGTTTGCGCTTTACCAACACAAGTACTGAATCTGGGTCCAACAGAACTAGAAAGCAAATGTCTAATGGAACATGCATGATTCCTCCAAAGTTGAGTACAATAAAATTAATGGCCAAAACAAGGCTGTTTGCTTTTGTTATGCAATGAAACTCTCCAGACGACCAAGTCTAGAGTAGGTATCACAGCCCACTTTAACTTGGGTCTAAATTAACTTCCTCAAGAAAAAAAAATGTAAACCTAATAGTAAGACTTGTGCTCAGATAACAGTGAGAATAAGCTAGAGAGAAGACAAACAGCCCAAGTGACCCTGAGCTTTGGTCTGACCTAAGCACTGTAATCCTGGAGCTAAACTCCATGGTTCCTGCTGCTTCTAGGATAGTAACAGATTAGCTCATGTGCATTCAGTCACCCCAACAGGTGATGATTAAATGCCTGCTCATACCTGGCACAGCGGGATGCATCGAGAATACAAGAGCACAGCATCTTATATAGTCCATGGAGTCATGGAAGGGAAGGGAAACAAATAGACAAATGTGACACAATTCTTTTGTGTAACATAAAAATAAAATAGTAAGAATAAGCTATGCAAACAAAGATAAGAAGTCAGTTCTATCTGGAGAAACTGTGGAGGTGGTAGCCCTGAAGCATTCCCTGAACAGGTAAGAGGTGGAGGCCCACCGCTCCACCCTAAACAGTATAGTTTATCAGAAAATTTGACATGATCTCTGCAGTTTTAAAAGATGTCTTGCTTTCAGGGTACCTAATGAGCATGTAATGCTATTTTCCTAATGGTCCAAGAGGTAGATCCAAGAATTTCAATTAGTTCACTTCTACCCAAATGTTTAGTCATGTCATGACAGTCTGGCATGTTACTGAGATTCCTAAACTTAAAAAACTTGATTATTCTCATTATTATTTCAAAGATAATGCAAAATTATCCTTCAGGTCAACTTTTATGTCTCAAAACTGAAGAAAAAAATTCATTAGAACAAAGTTTTGCATGTTGATGGCCCCACAGTGGCTAAATTCACCAGGGTTATGAGTCACCAATTGTGTTTTTCCAGAAAGTTCATTGGTCACAGAGTTGTCCATATCAGACACTCCAGTCATGGCAGTGCCCAACTAGTATAAGGCAGCCAGCCTCACCAGAACACTGTGCAAACAACTTCTTGTATCTAGATTATGAATACATTTAAAAAAGGTTCCCATTTGTAGTCCCAGGAGATACAGAAAGCCACCCTTTGGTGGTTAGATTACAGGAGAGTGGGCCAGGATCAGACCTACCTAACAAAACCCCTCTTCTCCCTGTGTCCCTGTGTTCGTAGAGTGTGTATTACTGTGATGCTTCTTGGAGGTGGGAATTCAGGAAGAATGGCAATTGGGTATCAGCTGGTGGCACACCCAGAGCAGTGACAAGGTCTTACTAAATTGTAAAGTTGCCCAGGCTAAGCTAGAGTTTATGCTCCTCCTGCATGAGCCTTTTGGAGTGCTGGGGTTACAGGGATGCACCACCATGCCCTGCCTGCACCTGGCTTATTCCTCTTTCCATAATGACCTCTAGATTCCAAGGCAGTTATATGAGGTGATGAAATGTCAGCTTCAGCGTGGGAGTCCTGGCCAAGGTGTGCTTACATTAAGCAGCATGCCATTTGCCTGAAATATGTACAGATTTCATCCTTAAGTACACTTCAATAAAGCTGGAAAAATACAAAGAATGAATGATGGAGACTATACAGAAATGGACCTTGTTGATACAGAGAAAGAATGAGAGACACAAAGACCAAGAAACCAATCCTGAGGTAAAGAAAAGTGCAAGTGGGAAGCTGAATGAGTGGCAAGGCAGCAGAAAAGCATTTCGTGACTCAAGGGCTAGGGTTGGGTGGAAGCAGATACAAATGGAAAAGCCAAGAACAGATAGTCATGAACCTGATATGGGCATGAAATACATATGTGGGGAAGGGCTGGGGTATGGCTCAGCAGTTACTAAGCACTTGCTTGGGTAAGTGCAGGGGCCAGTGTTCAATCCCTGGAACTGCATGCTTTGCTGGCCCCATCCCAGGGCACACTGAGCCAGCGATGGAGTCCAGGCATGGTCGCACATGCCTGCAATCCCAGCACTAGGGAGGCAGAAATCAGGAGGATCACTATGACTCCAAGCTGTGTAGTGAGACCCTGCACACACACACACACACACACACACACACACACACATACAACCTTAAAATAAATAAATAAATAAATAAATAAGAAATACATATGCAGGGAAGTCACTACATTCACAGTGTGAGTTATGAAGTGAGGCTAAGTAGTGGAGTGGATTCCACTCTCTCCAGATGCACACGCAAGCATGTGACGCCAGAGCTCGGGCAGCTATCTTGGGGCCATGAGGGAGCCTTCTGTCAGGACAAGTATGACAAAGCTGGCAACCAAAAACATCCAAGGTCCTGATCACTTGGCCAAGTTACTGTGACACCCAAGCCTAAAGCTGAACTTCTTTGAGGGCTATTTCTATGGAAAAATAACAAATCTCTTTTATGATGTAAGCTTTTCAATCATTTGCAACTGAAAGAATTTTCATCGACATATTGAGCAAGATACTTATTGTTTACTCATTCAACTCCAGATTTAAATTTAGTTAAGTCTAAATTTATAGACCCATTAAATATTATTTTGATAGATAGGATATTTGTAAAATTTATTGCAGTACAAAATACTGTGAATTAATTATAATGCTAGAATGATTATTTATTTTAATTCATGCATAGATTATGCATCAATGATTTTTGTCTCAGTACCCAGCCCTGTGCACTCATTCAGGAAGATCACAGGCTAATTAATAATTATCGGGCACAAAAATATTTTATAATAAAGTGAAAAG